CTGTAAGGAAGTACAAGAAGACTGTAAGGAATTACAAGAAGACTGTAAGGAAGTACAAGAAGACTGTAAGGAATTACAAGAAGACTGTAAGGAAGTACTATAAGTCTGTAAGGAAGTACAAGAAGACTGTAAGGAAGTACTTTCTTATGTACCTTAGGAAGTACTGTCTTATGTACCTTGGGAAGTACTCTCTTATGTACCATGGGAAGTACTTTCTTATGTACCTTGGGAAGTACTTTCTTAGCTACCTAATGGAGTAGAAAATGAAGCCTTCTGTCCATGTTTTAACTATTATACACAGAAATAGCATTTACGAGAGACCTTCCCACTCAACTTCAGCAAATCACTATGAGTTAGAACCACCTAGTTGTATCAGCTTTGCATTACTGACCTTAGGTATCAGTAGCACTTCTTGGTTTCAGACATGCCAGTTAGGCAAAACTCTTAAATGCAAAATCCTTTCAAAGAGCCGATCCAAAATTCCTAAAACTGGATATCCAAAATTGAAGGCTGGTTGAAAACAAGCCACGGACCTCCATGTTGTTATGTTGTTTTCCACTATAGAATGGCCTGTGGCTCAGCTGGTTTGGAAGAAGAATCTAATACTCTCCCTTTATGCTTACAAGACACCAATGTTTATACTGGATATAGTTAAAATAAGACATAGTACCCATCTGGATCAGCCTTGAAGTAAACTTGCCTCAGACTGTCAAATCTGTTAGCGCAAACGTTCTTGCTTCTCTTGCTTCTGGAAGCTGGAGGCATCTTCCTTCTTTCCTTAGTCATTAACTAGTAGTCATTAACTAGGGAAGACTATCTGCACGATTCCCTTCTTGTCCTCCACACGTCAATCATTTAATCGTGCCCTGCTGATCACAGGAATGTCACTAACACTCACTACGATTGGAAATATTTTAATGTGCTTTCAGATCACTGCAGAATATCGTATTTCCTGTGCACTTAGATTTCTGTTCTGCTGCAGACTAAAGCAAGTCTTTTATTTGTGTTATGCATAGCATGCATAGAGAATCTATTGATAGGAATGCAGATATTTATACAATAAAATTGCAGCGTGGTTGCCAACTGGTGGCTGCTTGTTCTTCCTTCATCAGATGTTTTCAGTATTCCCTGTTGGGCCCTCTGTGTGTTTCTGGTGTGAACCTCAGCTTACGTCATCAGTGCTGCCTCTTCATCTAGCTGATTTTCACATCTTTGCACATTTGATATTTTGAAACTGGTGTGAATTAGCTTGTGCCACAAACTGGTTATTCTAGGTTGCTCTGTGTTTTGTAACTTTGCAACTGAGTATTGCCCTCGACCATTCATTTGCTTGATTAAAGCAAAGCAGCAGAGATTCTACGTGGAGCAAAGTAGTGACTTTATTAAGAGTTCATCCTCCACTCTTACACACCACTTAAAGCCATTTAAAAACACAAAGAAAAGCACGCAATTTATGTTCTGACCACTGGATGGGAGGCAATTAAGCCTGGTGCTACCGTGGTACTAGGAGCCGTGAATGGTTGCAGAACTGACTGGGGGTCATGAATGGATTTACACCATCTTGAGCTCAGATGGATGCTTTCTAAATTTCTCATGCAAATGCCCCCTTTTCCAAACACCAATCCCTCAAAACTCTCCCCAAGCTCTATTCCTTGCCTTGGCGATGGGGTTTTCTTCATGGCTCTGTTCTTCACGTTTCTCAGTAAGTTTTTTTCCCCATCCAACCCTCTCTGGTACTTTCTATTTCCTCACGCTCGAGAGAGAGGTTTGATCAGCCCGTAATCCATGCACTTTGTGAGACAGTCACGTGCTGCGTTAATTACATGCTGCTTCTTGGGGTCATCTTCTTGCTTGCCAACAAACGTCAGGATCTCCAGGAGCTCTGACTCCACCAATTTCTTTGCCAGCTCTTTGCTGGCACTGATTAAATTGAAAGCGATGACCAGTCCACGGTGCTGCACTTCCATGTTATCGTGCAAGCAGAGCCTCTGCAGGATTTCAAGCCACTGGGTGGTCTTCGAGGAAGGGAAATGTTGTTAGTACTGGTCTGAAGAATACCTCAATCAAATTTTAAGGGTGTAATATTGCATTCCTAACCTTGCCTGACAGCTTATATGCTGGGCTTCACTTGAAGAACAGCTATAGATTAATGGTTTCATCTCTAAGATGAAGCCTTGGAAGCTGGCTTAAGAAAAGTTGCTTTACTTTCCGTGGGATGAACAAGGAGCATGCACACTAAGTTCCTCACTGGACAGCTGATGGACTGCATCTTCCTTAAGAGAAGCATTCAAGGTTATGCCTACGCTGTTGGTAATTAGGCTTATGTCTTACCACTTCAGTCATCTTTGAGCAGAGTTTCTTTTGTGCTGCTGTAAGCATGGCCAGGGTTCCTGCTGCTGCTTTCTGGACCTTCTCATCATCCTCACCACACAGTAACACCACCAGCTTCAGCCGGTCATTTCCATCAGCCACGAACCGCTCCTGAACCTGGAAAAAGTCACAGAATCCAGAGACAACGCAGTGTGAACGCATCATCGAGGTGCCTCAGGAGCTGCTGCACGCAGCCAGACCTGAGATGCAGTTACCTCCTTGCTGACCACCAGGTTGCACATGCATTCCGTGGCTGCCTGTCGGAGCTGGTCATGGTTCTCAAACATATAGTTTTCAATGTCTGGCAGTGCCCTTTCTTTGACTATTTTCATCCTGTGTTGAAGAGGAATCAAAACACATCATGAGATGGGATAATCACGGAATGGTTGGAGTTCAGACGGACTCCCAGAGGCCATCTGGTCCCACTGCTGCAGTGCACAGGGACACCCACAGCTCCATCAGTGCTCACAGCCCTCCAGCCTGACCCTGGGGGTCTGCAGGGACTGGCATCAGCCCTACTCTCAGCAGCCGATGTGGTGCCTCACCACCCTCATTGTAAAAACTTCTTCATTACATCCAACCTAAATCTGCCCTACGTTAGTTTGAAATCATTTTCTCTTTTCCTGTAATCAACCTAAAACATTAACTGCAGACAGATGAGAGATGTGGGGGGCTCAAAATAAGTCTGCCCACAGCACAAGGACTCATGATATGTGGTTTATTCCTTGCCTAATGCAAATTGAATTCACGCTATTTTTCCCCTTTCCAGAGGAAAAACACTTCTTACTGGCTATTTTATGAATCTTTTTGTTCAGAGACCTGAACAAAAAGGCAAAGGCAGCTCAAATTAACCACTCTTCCCAAATCTATGAGAAAAGCATTGAAGTAAAATTCAGATTCACTCCTGGTAAAGCAGCTGGGCGGGGAAGAAGCCCAAAAAGCAGCAGCACTCACCTAAGCTTATCACTTCTTCCTGAAAAATTAGTGAGTCCCAGGAGAGCCTCATAGTTCTGGAGGCCATCTCTCTCGGTGTTCAGCAAGCTGACGAGGGGCCTCACCACCTCGTACACCTGAGAACAAGAGGTATCACTACTTTTCCATATTGGTGATATTGATTTGAATGATATTGGTGATTTTCATTTGAAAAAAGAAAAGTAACAAAACAGGTGGTTTCTCACCTCTCTTTTTTATTTTAAAACTCACCCTCTCTCCTGGGAACGCTATGTCTGGATTGGAGATAGCAGCAATTTTTGCCAGGGCATGAGAAGCTTTTATCTTGCCAACATCTGTGCCTTCCACAGCCAGAGGTATCAGGGCCTAACACACAGGATAGCATTAAATGCCACCTCCCCTCACTGCAGGATCCCAACAGACATTTACTGCACGTCAGGCTGGGCTGCAGGTAGAAGAGGAATCACCTTTCCACCACCTTGAGCAACAATGGTCCCACGGTCCTTGGGGTCATCACATAACGCGAGGAACACCCTGCAAAAACACAGCACCGCTCACTGGAGCAGCAATAACCCCCCTCCCTCACGGGACAGGACAAAGGCCTTGCAATTAACTCTATCCCAGGCAAAGCCCAGCAGCCCAGCAGGCACCTGGCGATGAGCTCCTTGCTCTGGTCTGTCAGTATGGCACTGTCAGCTTTCACCATGCAGGCCAAGGCCGAGACAACGCCAGCTTTTAGCAGCCGCTTCACTCGCTTCACGACAAAATCCTTCTTGTCCTGCAGAGGGGAGGACATGGGAACAGATTAGCCTCTAGCAGCTGCCATCCTGCTGGGGAACAAAGCAGTTTCAGCCTGATAGGCTGGGAACCAAGAGACCTGGTGGCTGTGATGATGAATACACCAAAGAAAATCATCACAGAATGGATTGGGAAGGGACCTTCAATATCACATAGTTCCAATCCCCCGTGGGCTCGCTGCCCCCTACCAGCTCATCTGCCCAGAGCTGCATCCAGCCTGGCCTTAGCATCTCCTGGGATGGGGCACCCACAGCTCTCTGGACAGCCTGTTCAGTGCATCGCCCCCCTCTGAGTAAGGAACTTTCACCTAACATTTAAAATCTTCAGACCTGAGCACCTCCTGGCCACACACAGCCTACCTTGGGATGCTCCTCAGGCACGTGTTGCTTGGAGAATTTGGCCAGTTGCACCAGCTCTGGGACCAGCTCCTTTGTATCATAGCTGTTGGTGCAGTTCACCAGCGCAGAAGCCACAGAATACAGGATAGTCTTGTCACTTGTCTGCACAGAGAAATAAAAGTCCTAGTTGAAGTGCTCACTGGCTTACTCCCAGATGAGGGAAAAACTGAAGTTTATGGTCAAACAGGACACAGTCCCATCAGATGGTGTCAGAACCTTGATGCCTTTGGTTTTCATGTGGTAACATCTATTACAGTCCCTGACAGTAAAGGTTAAGAGCAAACTTCTGCTCTTATCTGTTGATAACAAGTTTTGGGTATCTCAGCAGCACATACAAAACTGAACTTCTTCTAAACTAGAGGTGAGGGTTTGCAGTCAGAACTGCTCCTGCTTAGGGAGATAGTGTTACTCTGGAGAGCTGCTACAAGAGGGATGAGAACACTGTAAGGGGGTAGAACCTTGGCTAACTCAAACATAGCTTGCAGGGCTTGCTCATCTTCCACAAAGTCATCTTTCACATCTGCATCCAGGGTCAGATATGCCAGTCCTTCCACAGCCCACTTCCTGGTGCGGGCATCAATGCTGGTGTTGCACAACCACCTGGAAGAGAGAAATCTACGTTTATCTCAGAAGCCAGGACTGATTTCTTTGGAAAGAAGGAAGGAAGAACAAATGTGCTGAGAACATTTCAGGCTTGAGCCTGCACTTGAGTTCTACTACAACTCCCTATGGGTGCCTCGGGACAAGAACTTTTCTTTCAAAAGGACAAGAGGGAATGGCCTCATATTGCTCCAGGGGAGGTTTTCAGGTTGGATATTAGAGAAAACTTCTTCAAAAGAGTGGTAATGCAGTGGCACAGGCTGCCTGGGAAAGGGGTGGAGGAGTCACCATCCGTGGAGGTATTCAAGAACTGTGGAGGTGTGGCACTGAGGGACGTGGTCAGTGGGCATGGTGGGTTAGGTTTGAACTTAGGGATCTTAGAGGTCTTCTCCAACTCTAATGATTCTTTGATTCTATGACTCTCCCTGCAGGCATTTCTGCAGCAGGGAATGAAGCCAGGGAGGAGCACATAGTTATGCTTTGCAAAGTCGGGAATAACAGAACTAAAGCCAAGGTACAACTCACTTTCGGCACTGCCTGGCAAGCTTCTCCGTGGAGCCCTCAGCAAATTGCCGCAGCCCATAGTCTGTCCCTCCTGCTGAGCCCAGCTTGCAGAGACCCTGAGGAGGAATTGAATAATTCATTAATCCTCTAGTGTTTCTGCCCAAAGTCAGCCTAAACCAGTATTTGAAGTCAAGTCTAAGAGGAAACATCCAAAAACCCAATAGACTTTTCAGCTTGTCGCACAGCAAATTCAGATGTTGCGCCCTTATTGGATGTCTTTAGTGGAAAATTAAGCAGTTTTGCCCTCAAGGTTACCAGTAATACCTGTGCTTTTTCTGGTCTGCATCTTCCTTTGTAAGGAAAGCACCATAAGCCATCCCTGAGCTGTGGTGAGCAATCCCAACATGTCCCCAGCACGTCCCCAGCACCTCCTCCCTCTGCCAAACCCAGGGTTAAGGAGGTGACAAAGGGGCTGCCATCCTTACCACTAGGGCTCGGATTTTGATCTTCTCATTCTTGGTCTTCTTGTAGATCTCCTTCAGGAGTGTTATTCCATTAGAGATGATGAAAGTGGCCCGGCTCAGCTTGGTGGAAGCGTGGATGAGGGCTTCCACAGCCACCAGCTGGTCAATCTCCCTCTCGGACCCACACAGGGCAACCATCATCTCCATCACCCCCTTCATGCCAAGCAGCTTGTTGCCCAAGTCAAAGGGCCCTTGCAGAACTCCAGACACCATCTGGATGGCGTGGAGTGTCTTGTCCATGTTCTGTGGGTCAATTTTGCTCCTGCATGGGGCAGACAGAGTCAGCATACAGTTTTTGCTCACTGGTCTCATTCCCTTGAGTAGCTCCTTGTGGGATAGGAATTAGTGAGCAGTTTTGTTTCAAGAGGATAGGGCTAGATTTTTGGGTGGTGTGGAGCCAGGAGGTGAACTCAGTGATCCCTGTGGCCCACTTCCAACTTGGGATATTCTATGATTTCTCTGCTGGGCTGAGCACCATTAGCAAAATATACAGGTATCTGGGACATGCCAAGCACAAATTCATGCAAGGATTGTAATCCACCTGGTAGGAGTACATGAGGCTCCATGCTCAAAGATCCTGCAGGATCTCAGGCAAATCCTTAACTCCAAAGGCCTCAGTTTGGCATCTAAGAAAGCCCCACGGCTTTCTTTAGCCCTGCAGGGAGCCCACCCCACTCACTTGATGTACTCCTCGCAGATCACACGGTAGTTGTCGCGCTCGGGGTCGCAGCGCAGGTCATCGTAGAGCTTATTTAGGAGGATGGAGGCAGTCAGCTGGGTGTTCTCTGTCAGCGGAAGGCAGCCAGGCATCTCAGGAATCTGACCCACCACTTTCAGTATCTTTTTTAATCCTGGAAACAATGAAGTGATACGGCTGCTAGAGGAGAGAAGGCCTGTCCAAAACTCAGGATGCTGTTTGCTGGGTTTTTGCAGTGAAACAGCCAGCTGAGTTGCTAGTTACTTTATAGCCTGATCACATCATCTTTACACAAAGAAATTATCAAAAGATTTACTGAAAAGAATGTTCTGCTCATGGGTTTGTGGCATTGAGCACCTCCCAGGTTAGAGCAGGGATGAGAGGAAGGACTCACCATTGTCAATGACAAAAGTGGTCCTGCTGTTGTCATGGTCCTTCGGGTCCTTTCTTGGTATGTTCTTGTTGAGGAGGTTGAGAGCTCGGTCTCGTCCCTGCCCAGATACGTTCTTACTGACCAACATATCCAGCAAACGCATCGTGATCATCTTCAAGTCTTTTTTAGTATCTATACAGAAGCAAGGCAGCAGCAGCCAGTCAGGAGAAGCTTTCTCTGAAAGCTGGTGAACTCAGAGAAAACCAGTCAAAGCCATCACATGGCTGCAACATTGGTATTGAAGTTAGAGAACCAGCTCCCTTGCTTCTCCAACAAGGACTGCCATTACCTAGCACGAGAGCCTCCTCCTTGCCATGGTGCTCCTCCTTGCCCTGTCCCAGCAAGCAGTCAGTGATGGTCTGCAGGAGGTTGCAGACAGCCAGGGAGATCTCCTCATTGTCCACCGACATCCACGAGCAGATGTTGTCAATGCCCACGTAATGGAGGATGGCAGTGGCCTGAACCCGAAAGGAGAGAGCAGAGCTGTTAGCAAAGGGCATGAGCGCATTGAACAGCTGTGATTTTTCTCTCTCCAGGTACAAGGCAACAGCAGTGAATGTCCCAAACTGCTCACCCGAGCCTTATGTCCTGTGCACATGCCCGAAAGTGTCCTCACGGCTGCTAGGACCAGCTCAGCATTTTTGGTTTCTATCAGCTGCAGCAGCAAGCTGACCCCATTGTTCTGGAAAATCCTCTCGGCGCCCGCTTCCTCCCGGCCCAGGACTATGAGGTTGTTGGCAGCCTGGGTGGGAGAGATAGGAGAGGTCAGCAGCACAGCTTCCAGAACACCTCTGGGATATGTTTGGGATCCTCAGCTCTGATCCCAAGCATCTTCTCCAGGTGCACCTGGAGGTCAGTCTTGATCCTCCCTATAAAAAAAACGAGTCAGCACCTGGAGAGAAACGCAGGGAAGGTGGCAGAGATGGGCAGGTTGGATCCCAGTTTGGATACTTTGGGGCCCACCTTCCCTGAGTACAGGAGCGATGCCAGATTCTCACCCTCTCTCGCTTCTCCTTCTCGCTGTTCTCATCCAGCAGGATTTCAAACATCTTCTGCACCCGCATGTCCGTGGAGAACTGAATGCGCAGCTGTGCCAACATAAAGTGTGTGCAGCATCAGAAAACCACAAAGCAATTTTCCTTTTGCACTTCAAGACAACCACGGTCCCCAAATGGCGAACAGCAAGCTGGATAACAACATGGGCATCGCTTCTCAGAAAGCAGGTATGATTGCCCAGCTCACCCCAATAGAATCGTGACTCATTAAGGCTGGAAAAGACCACCAGGTCATCTAGTCAAGCCCCAACCCATTCCCACTATGTCTACAAAGCCATTGAATCATGGAATCATTAAGGTTGGAAAAGACCTCTAAGATCACAAAGCCCAACCTCAACCCATCCCCACCATGTCCCTCAGTGCCACATCTCCAGGTCCATGAGCCCCAGGACTCACCTTCTCCTGGATGTCAGCCCCCAGGCGCCTCAGGGTCTCCTGGAAGTTCTTGTTGCGGGGCTCCATGGTCGCACATTTCTGAGCATCTTTGAATGCTTGGTCCAATTTTCCCAATTTTTCTAGAGCTTGGCTGCGCCGGTACAAAGCTTTGATATCCGAAGAATTGATGTCAATAGCTGGGAAAGGGATCCAAAGGTCAGGGCACCAAAGTCTGCTTCTTGAAAATCCCCCATGTAAAATCTGCTTCAGGTTGGATATTAGGAACAAATTCTTCTCATGAAGAGCAGTGATGCATTGGCACAGGCTGCCCAGGGAGTGCCAGTGGTCACTGTCCCTGGAGGTGTTCCAGAAAGGAGTCAATGTCACACTGAGGGGCATGGTGTAGAACAATCACAGCCAAGGGTGGATGGTTGGACTGGGTGATCTTAGATCCTATAATATACATTGGCTACATTTCCTAGGTATTGTTATCTCAGAGTGAACTGGTACCAAACCAGCACTGATGCACCAAACTGCTGCATCTCCTTTTATACCTTCTCCAGCACTTGTGTGTTAGGGGACACAACGCCATGAGAACAGTGCCCCAAAAGCAGGCATGAATGGGCTGGAGCAGATGAACAGAAACACAGCCTCTCCTTACCTCTAGATGCATCCGAGGCTGCTTTGGCGTATTCCTCCTGCAAAACCAGAGGAGCAGAGCAATTCATCAGCAGTGAGACAGTGGAGTGTGACCCCATTGCTGGTGCAACTCAAGCTCTGTTCCCACTAACAGGGCACCCTGATGAAAGCAATAGGAGCCTATGGAAGGCAAGAAGGGAGCTTTGGGTACCATCTCACTGGTGATGGAAGGAAACAAGCATGTCTGGTGTGGGTCAGACAACAACAGCCTGCAGGCAGCAATGGAAAAGCCTGCAGCAATTTGGGGTTGGGACCATTGCTGAGCTAAACCAGCATGCTCATGCTATGCGGATGGGACCCAAAGCTTTCCTCACCTTTTTCAGGAAGCATGCTGCCCGGTTGCGGTACAGCACGGCCTGCAGTGCCCTGTCCTTGTTGAGCTTCATGGCCTTCGTGTAGCTCTCAGCAGCTCTCTCATAGTCGCTGGCTTGAAAATATTTGTTGCCCTCCTCCTTCAGTTGGATGGGATCCTCCATCTGGGGAGCAGAGGAAAAAAAAACCCACACATTTTAGGCTGCTTGGGAGTTTTAAGGAAAAACATGAAATTTGTGCCCCTTCTGGTTTGGGCTGCCTGTTGAATATCCCTGAACAAAAGCACCTTACCAATCTGAAGTGCTCAGAAAATCAAACTGCTCCTTGAGGCTGTGGCTCCTCAGCAGTAGACCTCCACAGCTGTCGATCTGTAGTGACCAGTGAATAGAAATAAAAGAACAAAAAAGAGCTCAGAAAGTCTGGAGAGTCCAAACGGCTGGGGAAAGAGCTCACCTCCCACTCCAAGTTTGGGCAAGAGCTGGCAGCTCCTGCTGCGTGTCACTGTCACCTGTCACCACTGCCTGTCCCCTGTGCCATATAGGGCTGGGGGCCACAGTGTGGGGGGATGCTGTGTGTAAGGGCACAGAGCCCTGGGCACCAAGAGGGGATGCTGCTCTCCCACCCACTGGGTGGATCCCTGTTATCCATCACCTGCAGAGCTGCATGGAGAATGGAGTGGGAATGGGAGGGCTTTGTGCCATAAACAAATCAGTTCACACGGCTGACCCCCGTCCTAGTGCTCAGCGCCTTGTCCCTTTCTATTTAGGGAGGCATGAGACAGCTGCACAGGGACAAGTGCACAGGGACAGCTGCCAGCACCTTCCAGAACAGCCGTAGAGAGAAAGCACCAGAACCCCCTTCCCTACACTGCTTTCAGTAGGGGCAGCTTCCCCCTGACAGCGCTCACAGCCCAGCTTCCATGGCTAAGTAAGCCATGTTTCCTACCAATACATTCCGTGCAGCTCAGTGGGTGCTGGGGGCCCTCTGGAGGATGAGAAAGCAAAAGGAAATTTTTCCTGAGGAAATTCAAATGTCTGGCAGAGGGGGAGAGAATCAGCCTTTGTGTTTCCCCATGTGCCCCTCATCTCTGGGGACAGCAAAGAGCCTCCCAGTGCACCCTCATCTTCCACCACACAAACCCACCTGCACACCCCAGTAGGTCTGCTCAAAAGCCGGCCCCAGGCAGTCATCATCTCTGGTGTTTCTAGCCACTTGCTCACACCAGATCTTGGGAAGAGCCAGCCAGCTCTGTGGGACCATCACCCCCCAGGGAGCATCAAGGCACCCTCCAGCAGCCCTGGGGCAATGGTGTGGCTCAGAGGGGCTGTGCTGGGCACACGATGCTTAAGGCTCCAGCTTTGCTCTGGGACATGATTTAGTGGTGGGTTGTTAGAGTTAGGGTAGTGTGGTTAGGTTGTGGTTGGACTTGATGACCTTGAAGGTCTTTTTGAACCTGAGCTATGCTATAATTCTGTGGTTACTGAAGAACATCGACTGTACCGTACCCTATCTTACCCTACACTTTTGATTCCAGTATTTATAGACTCTGGACCACTGGATGGCCATTTAGACCCAGCTGGTGAGTGGCATCCACTACAGAGACCAGCTTTCAGCTGTGATTCCCTTACTATTGCTGTCCAGAAGCAGGATCACGGTTTTTGGAAGCATCCTTCGGGGTGAGCAGACCGCTAGGGGGGGTGCGGAGGCCGGCAGCCCTTCCGCAGCCGGCAGGAAGCAGGAAGGGGGCTGATATGGGATGAGGTTCGGTACCGGTGGCATTTTAGGGACCCCTCGGCCACCCGTAGGTGCGGGCTCTGCGTGGCTCCACGTGGCTCTGAGCGTTCCCGGACACGCGTGGGGCTGCTGGGGAGGGCTCGCCCCGTGGGCACGGTGATGGCTGCGTGTGTGGTTTGGGGACGGGTGGCACTAAAGGGACCCACTTGGGGTCTCGCAGCATCACTGCGGTGTGGGTGGCCCCTTGGGGATGCTGCAGGATGCATGTCCTCATGGTACACAGTGGTACCCCCGTGTACACTACGGTACCCCTTGGGTGCCCATCCTATCTCCCCACAGGTCTCTGCTTCCATCCCTGCAGCGCTCCGTCCCGCCGTGCCGGGGCCATGGTGGTCCTGCGGGCGGGGCTGTGCCCTGGTCTCACTGAAGAGATGATCCAACTCCTCAGGGCAAACAACATCAGGACCGGTAACTTGGTGGGGGATGTTGGTTCCTGCCCCTTTGGGGTATCAGCACACGTTCCACCCTTCTTGTTTCTGTGTCATTTGTAGTGGTGGACTTCGTGTCATCGGATCTGGAGGACGTTGCCCAGAACTGTTCCCTGTCTTACAAGGTACCGGGTTATCCCTGAATCCTCCCTAAGCTGGGCACTCACAGCTCCCTGCTTGGGTGGGCTTTTCTGCAGGGCACATTGGTGGCTGTGGGCTTTCTTAGTCCCTTTACAAACTGTCCAACAGGCGCTGGTGGCTGTGCGCCGTGTGCTGCTGGCCCAGTTCTCAGCCTTCCCTACCAATGGAGCAGACCTCTATGAGGAGCTCAAGAGCTCCACTGCCATCCTGCCAACCGGCAGCCCCAGGTGGGTGCCCAGTGAGCTGTGATGTGGTGATGCCCCCAGTGTGCTCGATGTTGTCCCATTTGTCTCCAGCAGTTGTCACCAACCCCAGCCTGGCTGTGCCCATTGAGAGCAGAGGTGACTTTTCATGTCCTGTGGCTGTGAAGTCAGCTGGTCTCTGTCCCTTGAGGGATGACACTGCCATTGCTGTCCTTGCAAGAGCCTGCACATCTCTTGGAATTGGCTATATGTCTCAGTTCTAGACTAGAGAATGTGCTGCCCTCAGCCTTCCTCTTGCGAAGAGAGTTATGGATCTGGGAGGGTTTGGAGTGATGATTTCCCAAGGCTGGGCAAAGAGATGACTTGCTCTTTGTTGCCCAGGCTTATTTCTCTTTCTCCAGACTCCTTGTTGGCTTGTTACAGTGGGGATGCAGAGAAACACCAGATGTTCAAACCTGGCTCCCAGGCTCTTTCCCATCTCAGCATGATTCTCTTGCACTGCAGAGCTGCTGCAGCCCACGGTGTATGGAGAGTCAGGGCTGGAGGGTGGGAGCAGAGCCCATGGCTTCTGCCTTTGTGAAGTGGATGATAGGTACTGGTATGTGGGAACACTCCCCATTTTGTGGGATGCATATTGAGCATCCTACCTTGTGCTCACCCCACAGCTTGGACCAGCTGCTGGACGCAGGGCTGTACACCGGGGAGGTGACGGAGCTGGCAGGAGCACCAGGCAGTGGGAAAACACAGGTGAGTGGGGCAGGGGGTGACCTGGCCTGGGGTTGGGGACACCAAAGGCTCTCATTGTGCCGTGGGTGGGCAGCTGATGACCGGTCCATACTGCTCCAGGTGTGCCTCAGCATCGCGGCCAGCGTGTCCCTCGGCCTCAGGCAGCACGTTGTCTTCCTCGACTCCAAGGGGGGGTTCACTGCTTCTCGCCTTTACCAGATGCTCCAGTCCCGGGTGGAGGACAAGGAGGAGCAGGTGAGTTGTGTGTTTTTCCTGCTTGTGAGGGCATCAGCCCACTGTTATCCTCATGGACTCTGCTGGGCCCATTCCTAGTAAGGCTGGGTGCTGTTCTTAGGGGAGAATGGGGTAGCCTGACTCAGTCCCTCACCCATTGCTCTTTGAGCTTGCTCTGCTGTGCTGCTGCCATCATTGCTGTGGGGGCAACAGTGTTCATGGAGTGGGGGTAAATACAGGAAAAATGAAGGCCCCTGGCTCTGTGGCAGGAGGGGCATGGGTGTGCTGTGCATGCAGTGCAGGTTGCAGGGTGACACTGCTGTGTGTCACAGCTGGAGGCCCTGCAGCGGGTGCAGGTGATCCGCGTGTTTGACATCTATGAGATGCTGCGTGCCCTGCATGAGGTGCGGGACTGCCTCTCCCAACAGGTAAGGCCTCCAAGTTCCTCTCCTTGACAAGTGTCACTTCATCCCAGGGATATCCAAGTCTCAGTGCAGCTGTAACACCTCTAAAAAATGTTGCTCAATGTTGCACGGTTGATTTTGTTCTGCAGGTGGAGAGCTCGGCGGGGCCGCTCAAGGCAGTGCTCATTGATTCCGTGTCAGCCGTGCTGTCCCCGCTGCTGGGTGGCCGGCAGTCAGAGGGTGAGCCCTGAGCTGCTCTGTGGGGGGGGGAGGCTGATGGCAACGTGCTGGAAATGGTGTGAAGGTGCTTATGAGCACCATATATAAGGCTCACACAAGTCCAGAGTCAGCAATGGGCTGCTGAGGGTGGGTCAGTGGTTGGACTTGATCTTCTTAGAGGTCTTCCAACTTGAGTGATTCTATGATTCTACCTCTGGGGTGAGCTCTGGGGGCTGCTCCCTCTGTTTGGGTTGAGCCCTCCACCCCTCAACACCTGCTCCACCTGCAGGCTTGGCCATCATGATGCAACTGGCCCGGGAGCTGAAGACATTGGCCAAGGAGTTCAGCGTGGCGGTGCTGGTGAGTGCTGCTGTCTGTGAGCATTCCTGCCATGGCAGGGAGCCCAGGTTTAAGAGCCCCTGGTGCAGCTGCTTTGGCTGATTGGTTGGAGGGAAAGAGCTTCATCAAGTGACAACTTAGCCATCATCTCCTGGTGATCTCAGGAGTTTCACTGAGTTTCACAGCCTGTGTGTGTGCATGGCAGGTGACCAACCAGGTGACAAGGGACAGCAGCACCGGCGCTCTCAAGTCAGCACTTGGCCGCTCCTGGAGCTTCGTGCCCAGCACCCGTGTGCTGCTGCAGTGCAGAGCAGCGCCGTGGGAGGAGGGCACTGCTCCACACACTGCCTGCTTGGCCAAGTCACCGCGCCAGGTGGGCTCTGGCTATGGAAAAGGGAGGTGTGGGTGTGGAGCAGTGGGATGCAGAGTCAGCCCCCCCAGGGGGACACACTGCAATGGGAGAGTGGCAGATGTGTGCTACTGAGAAAGGCACCTGATGCCAGCAGCCTGAGCTCTCAGGTTTATTCTGTTAAATGAGGGGCACTGCTTGCAACCTGGGTCAGTGTGTCCCCAAGCCTGTCTCACTGTCACGGTGCTCGAACACCTGCAGAGATGTGATCCTGTGCTGAGTAATGGCAATAATGGTGCACCTGGGGTCTTCTCAGAGCAAAGTGTGCTGAACTGCATTCATTCAGCAGACCCAGATAAAATGAGGGCATTGGCAGAAAAAAGTCCTCAAGGGGATGGAGCTGGGGGCTTTGGCTTGGGGCAGGTGCAGCTCATGCAGGCTTAGCAGAGTTGAGCTCTTCTGTTTCCTGCTGCAGCCAACAGGGATGCAGGTGCAGCTGGATATTGGCAACGATTATGTGCAGGAACAGAGGCCAGTGACACCCACACCATGACCCTGATGGGGACGGAAAAGCAAATGTCAAGGTCTGGGAGAGCTGTAAAGAAAACAGTGCAGACCCTGAGCACAGACTGCCTCTGAGTCCCACAGCACAGAACAGTTCCTGTTCTTCTGCCTTGTGAGAAAACGTGTGTGGGGTTCCCTGGAGAGCTCCCTTGGCACATGTGTGGTTGGCATGGGGCAGGCAAGACCCCTCCTCTGCCACTAGTGGGGCTGTCCCATCCTTGGCATTGCATTGGTTTGTGGTTTTGTTCCCATCTCATAACTGCTGCCTTGGGCAGCCCATGGTGGTCTTGGTTGAGAAATAAAGGTGTTGCACACTGTTACAGTCCAAGGCTGCGATTCAATGCGTGGCAACTTCTGCTCAGCTTCAGATTTCTCAGTAGTCCTTAGCATAGGTGGGGTGAGTTAGTGAGCAGGGATGCAATGGGCACTGGATGTGATCCCGTCACTTTGACAGCCCTGCAGCGTTTTGGGGCACTGCTGTGCTGCGTAAGACTAAAATTCATTTTAAAGTTACAATTTTTGCGCTGCTCTGGGATTTCCATGCCTGCAGCTGGTTATGTTGGGACAGTTTTCCTGTCTGCAGGAACTCACAGAATGATCCTTATGGGCAGGAGGGCTGTACAGAGCCACGGTTTTGTCTGGAGCAGAGGGGTTTTCCATCTGCCTCCTTCCCCTAAATCATGGGAGGTTGCAGTCATCAGCCCCACGTAATGCCGGGTTCGGAAAATGCTCCTTCTGCACTTTGTCACTGCGGGCTGTCATGGGGCGGTGACTCAAAGGGAGGAGAAAGGGAAGGGAACAGGGAAAGGTGACAAAGCCACACTGCTCCAAAGCTCCTGACACAGCTGTGAGACTTTCATCTGCTTGCAGTCTGCTTTGTGCCTTGCTGGGGTAAGGTGTGCAGGGTGTGGGGTTTGGTGCTGCGGTCCCGAATTCCTGGTGATGATGCTGTGGGTTCTGTGCACCTTTTGGCATGGGCACAACGATGGCTTCAGGTGACAGCAGTCTGTTACCTGCGCTGGAAAACCTCAGCTTCTCACTCAAGCTGCTTTGCCCTAAATTTACATAGTAAAAGTAGGTAAAAAAGAGTTTCTGACCTAAAAATCCTAATTCAGCCTTTCTCCCTGTGCTCAGGCAGGCAGCTAGTCCTGGGGTCAGCACTTGGCTGTGCCACTGCAGGTGGGGATGTCCCTGCTCTGAGCCTCGTTACCTGCACTGGCTGCAGGGCTGTAGGGTGGAGTGTTTGCTCTAGATGTGTGTATTACACACACGTTTGGATACATTTATGTGTGTATATATGTACTATCTGTATATGTGTGCATATATCTATTAGGGTATGTGCATGTCTGCACACATACAGGGACACAAATGCATGTACATTTTTGTATACCCTGATCCTGTGGTTAGCATCCATGCCTGTTCAGTAGAAGAAAGACAGGGAGCTGTTGGAGAGGGTCCAGAGGAGAGCCACAGAGATGATCGGGGGGCTGGAGCAGCTCCCCTACGAAGCCCTCCAGGCTGAGGGAGCTGGGCTTGTTCGGCCTGGAGAAAAGAAGGCTGTAGGGTGACCTGACTGCAGCCTTTTAGTACCTAAAGAGAGCCTACAAACAGGAGGGGAATCAACTCTTGGAAATGCTAGGTAGCAGCAGGACAAGGGGAAATGGTTTTAAGTTGAGGGAGGGAAGATTGAGTTGGATGTCAGGGGGAAGTTCTTTCCTATGAGAGCGGGGAGGAGCTGGAACAGCTGCCCAGAGAGGCTGTGCATGCCCCGACCCTGGAGGTGTTCAGGGCCAAGTTGAGTGGGGCCCTGGGCAGCCTGGTCTAGAGTTAAATGGGGAGGTTGGTGGCCCTGCGTGCGACAGGGGGATTGGAGCTTCGTGATCCTGGAGGTCCCTTCCAACCCTGGCCATCCTGTGATTCTGTGATAGGGGTTGGAATTGGGTGGTCTTTAGGTTCCTTCCAAGCCATTCTGCGAGCCTGTGAGTAAGTATATGTTATCACGGCACTGGGGACCTGGTTCCAAGGCAGCACACAGTCACACCGCTCTGTCCCCGCGACTGTTCCCGTCCGAACTCCGAGTTGCCCGGTTGGAGTCTCGAACCGGCGATCTTTCAGTCACCAATCCCCTCTTGGCCGCTTGAGGGCGCCAGGGAGACCTCCGCTCCGCAGGGGGGCGGGCCGTGCGGGGGCGCGCAGCCCGCCGCTTTAAGGCCGCCGCTCTGGCCGCCCTCTCTATGGTCGGCCGCGGCGCACAGTTGCCATAGCGCCGCCGCCGCCGCGTGGAGCGCAGCGCTCGGGGAGGAGCCGCGGCCTGGGCCGGCACGGGGCCCGGCGCGGGACGGGGCGCCGAGGGACAGGTGAGGCGGCGAGGCTCGGGGGGCCGCTCGGAGCGGGGAGGGAAGTCGCGGTGGGCCTGCGCGTGAGTGTCGGAGCGCCGGTCCGGCTTCCCTGCTCGGGGCCGTGGGGCGCGGATCCCCTCGCTGAGGTCCCCCGAGGGCTGCGGGCCGGGCACCGGGAGATTCGAGACCGGGAGCTGCCGGGGGCGGCGCCTTCCTGCGAGCCGCCCGCGGCGCTTCCTGCGGGCTGAGGGCGGCTCTGGGCTGCTTCCTGCCCGTTCTGCCCGCGGGGCGGTGACACCTGCCGGCCCTCCGTTGGGATGTGCGCGGCGGGCTGCGATCAGAGGAGGTAGCTGTGGCACCGACGCGATGTCTGAGCTCTCTGCCTAAGGTACGTCCGGGGCAACGCGCGACTTGCCGGGACGCAGCCGTGTTTTCTTTGTGTGTCTCCTCCTCCTGGCCCAGCTGCGGTGCTGCGTGAGGGCAGTGCGGGCTTTCACAGCACTTCTCCCTTTTTCCCAGGCTGTGTGCAGAACTTCCCGTGCTCTCCTTTTTGCAGCAGTCCTGCAGTGCCGCGGTTGGGCTCAGGGGTGGTTATGGGTGCCTTCCAGCCCAGTTGTTCCATCACTGTGTGGTTCTTTTTCGGTTCTCCGTTTGGTTAGGATGTAACGGCAGGTGCTGCAGGAGTTGTTGTGTGTGACAATGTAGCAGGTTGCGCTTAAAGGCTGTGAGCCTCGTATTTTAACTTAAGCGATGCTTAAGGCACGTAGGTGGTGATGTGAAAGAAGAAACAGCATTTTCCCCTTGTTCTCGTTTCCAGTGCCACCTGCTTTTTGCAGAGCTGGGAAGGAGAACATGAAGCTGTTTGCTCCAAATGCTGGTTCTTATGGTTTCTAGATCCTGTCACGCTCCGTTGTGCCGTGCTATCTCTTTAACCCATTTTGCATTCACAGTGGTTGGGAGGAAGGTCTCTTCGCTCTCAGGGACCTTTGCTTCTGTAAGCATAATTATGTTCAGTAGAACAATTGGGTCTAATGAAACCAAGTGACTTGCTCAGGCTATTGTTGTGTTTTCTATTGGGGATGATTCTCTCTGCTTACGTGAACCCTGCTGCAGCTCCCCAGCTGTAGCCCTCTGTGGTGTGGGCGTCCCCCGGCTGGTAGCAATTGGGCTTAATTAAAAGCTGATTGCCATCACATTGGTGTTCATGGATAAGTGCTTAACAGCTCAAGTTTCTGTTGAATTGGAATAGCTTTAAAGCCATAATTTAGATGCAAACTCTTCAGTCAGGCTAGAGCATGAATCTCCAGTGCTGCGCGTAGTAGGGTTATTAAAAGAGGTGCTTCAGACTTTGCAGCAGCTGTGGGAAGTGGGCAGGCTGCTCATCAGTTGCAGTGATCTGTTCCTGCTGTCCTTGCTGACTCACCTGGGGCTGCACCTGATGCTCAGCTGTGGTCTGCAGCCTCACCTTCAGCCAAGGGGAAATGCTGTCCCTGTGCTGTGCCCATTGGCTTTGCTGGAATACATGGAGGAGAAGAAACCTTTTGTTAGGCGTAGATTACCTTTCTGTCTTAAAGTGCACTGTTGTGTGCATGCAGGGGGTTGTGGAGAGTCTGCTCTCTAAAGCCTTTCGAAGGCCCTGAGGAGTGTGGAGCCTGCTCCAAAGATCAGAAATGAGCACCTCCTGTGCCTTTGAACTGGCTGCTTAGGGGTGGAAGGGGGTGAGAGATTAATGTCTGATGGAGGAGAGGCAGTGAGGTGTGTGCACATCTCTTTGTGAGGTGATCTGGTCAGGAACTGCCCCTATGCTGGATGAGAGGAGCTGCAGGTGTGTAGTAATGAGTTTGGGGGGACCTGGTGCTTCTCTGCAGTCTGAGCTGGGACAAGAGCATGGCATAACCTTGCTTCCTGCAACCCCCCTGTACCCTAGCACCTGGTTGTATCCTCCATTCTGTGCTGGTTTTCCTCTGCTTCCCAGTGAAGGTCGTGGCAAGAAGGCAGAGATTAGTGCTTTGAGCTCACACCAGCTGGCACTCAGGAGCCTGAAGGCTCTGCAGGGTGAGTAACTGTGCTCTCCATCTCACAGGTGGGGGGAGAGCTGGAGTAGGAGAATTGCTCTGCCCTGAATTGATGTCAGAAGCAGCACTTGTCTGCAGGCTGGGTTCTGTCACCAGATGGTGCATCCCTCTGAAGGTGGTTATTCAGTCTTCAGAGAACACTGCCAGGCTGAAAAACCACGGTTTCCTGTAAGAGGCAGAGTATGGCTGTCAGGTTGGGATCTTACACTTTTATTTTCCCCTCTTTCTCAGAGCTGAGAGCTCGTTCCAACTTCTTAAAGCCCTCCTTGGCTTTTTAGGTCTGTGTTCCCATGAAGTACTGCTTGCTTTAAAAAAAGAGTTGCTTTCTGAGGGGCTGCTTATCCTTCTCTGTATCGGCTCTGAATTCTTCACATTAGTGGTCCTTGATGTCACTTGAGCCTCAAGTGGGCTTTGTGCTCCAGCAAAAAGAACTCAGAATAAGACTGTTTATATTGCACTTCCATGTAGGCTCAAATATTACTTTCTTTTCCTTTGACACCTTTTCATATTCAGAATGCTGTGGGAAATGCTTTGAAGAACACTGGTAAGCAGTGCCTTTGTGGAATCTTTTTCTTCAGGCTGATGCTAAGGGAGCACATGGGGCTGGAACTGCTGGGGAGCTGCTGTACTGCAGGGCGATCCCCTCCATAGGACTGCCAGGCTGCGTTTCGTGAGGTCCATTTCAAAGGAGCAAATTCATCGGATGAAATGCTTTCCTTTCTAGATCCTTGCACATGATAACTCTGAGGACAAACAGGCCCTTGGTTTCCAGAACAGATTTCAAAATGGCAAATTATTCCCCAAAAGAAACGCTTCCTCTGTTTAGATTAACAAAATAATTTTCCTTCTTGGATCCTCGAGCCCCTTCCTATACACGCCTGGCCTGCTGAGGCGGCTGAGATG